GGCCCAGTCGCGGCCCTACGGCCCCGTCGCACCCCTAGCAGGCCCCGTCGCGCCCCTATGGCCCCGTCGCGCCCCTAGCAGGCCCCGTCGCGCCCCTACAGCCCCGTCGCGCCCCTACGACCACTTCCCGCGACCACTTCCTTAGTCAGCACCCTGTCGACCTCACCCTGACCGCCTTTGTCACTACTATGTCTGAGATAGAGACTCTCCAGCGCACTATCGCTCACTCGAGCGGTGTTGCGGCAGTCCCTATCTTTCAGGGCTGTGCCCCCTCCCAGTGGACGTACGCTGACGTCTTCGCCGCAGTTGCCACGACTGCGCCTGCACCTGAGACAGTAGCTGTGGATTACCCGCAGCAGCGCCAGCGCCGGGGCTGCCGTGGCCCCAAGGGAGGACGTGGAGGTGGCGCAAGTGGTGGTGGTGGCGGGGACAGTGGTTCTGACGAGGGGGTTGGTGCTGGTGCCCAGGAGCAGCAGCAGTCGCCGCAGTCACAGCCGCCACAGTCGCAGCCGCTGCAGCAACAGCAGCCGTCACAGCAGCAGCAGCAGCAGCAGCAGCAGCAGCAGCAGCAGCAGCAGCAGGAGCCGTGGGCTCGTCTCCAGCCCGGGTGGCCAGGAGCCCCTGGCGGTGGTGGTCGTGGTGGTGGCCCTCGCAGCTCGGCGTCCACCGTCAGCTTCGGTGCTGTGAGCTGCCAGTACCAGCGTCAGACCGGGCCCCTGTGTGGCACGGTGTGCCGCAGGTCGCACTTCACCGCCCGCTACTTCCGCCGCCTCGACGACCTCTTCCGTCGCCGCTTTGATCCCGCCCTGGACCTCCCTGACTGACCCAGCCTCCTGCGCCACGGTGTACATGTGTTTGACTTAGACATTGATCAGATTACTTCTGCCTTGCATTCCCTGTATGCTGACGCTTCAAGTGTTTACGGATCGTATTACTCTGTGTTCTCTAGCTGAGGCATAGCACCTGTGTGTAGTCCAGACTCCCCTGCTGCGCCAGGCGTAGGACAGCTTGCTTTGTCTAGCCTAGGGTCTACCCTTGCTCCTCGATCGTCAGCCACTATGGCGACGCTGTCCTTCACTCTAGACTCTGCTTGCTACGCCTGCCGCTGTTGCCCTTGTGGACCCCTCCTCTGGTCCTTTAGTTGCTCGCAGCTACACTACCCTTCCCTGTCCGGCCATTCCCTCGGGTTCCCTTACAGGCCTGCACATCCCTTCGTTCTTCAGGAACTTAGTTGGTGTCGGCTGTCTTCAGGACCTCGGCGTCACCACTACCTTCCCTGGTCACGAGCGATACGCGGTCTGTTTCGAGGCCGCCTCAGGTGCCCTCCTTGCAACGTTCCTCCGGGATCCTATGCCTGGCATGTTTACGCTGGACTCTACTCCCCCCCCGGCGGGCGAGTCCTCCTTCGGTTTTTCGTCCACCCAGGTAGCTACGGCCTGCTCGTGGTGGTCTCTCACTCACCCGTCCCTGTTGTGGCACCACCGTCTAGGTCACCCCGCGCTCCCCCGCCTGCGTTACATGTCTCAGCACGGTCTAGTCCTCAGCCTCCCTGCGTCGCTCCCTACTCTCACTCCCTTGCCTGCGCCGCCGTGCACGCCCTGCGTCAAGGGCCGGCTGCACCGTGCTCCTCCCTCCTCCTCACTTCACCCTGCCACTGCACCCCTTCAGACCCTGCACTTGGACATCTGGGGCCCAGCCCCTTTCCCTGGGTCGCGTTGCGAGCGCTACTTTCTTATGCTCGTTGACGAATTCACCCGCTACACCATGGTGTTTCCCCTGGAGCGGAAGGCCGACGTGCTTGACGTTCTTATCCCGTGGCTCGTCGATGCGCGCCTCCACCGCGGTCTCCGTGTGCTGTGTCTCCACTCCGACCATGGCGGCGAGTTTGCCTCTGGTCAAATGGGTCATTTCTATCATGCAGAGGTTATCACCCAGACGTAAACCGTACAGGACTCCCCGCAGCAGAATGGGGTCGCTGAGCGACGCATCGGTTTGGTCATGGAGGTGGCTCATACCTCCATGATCCATGCCGGTGCACCCCATTTTCTGTGGCCGTTCGCCGTTCGCTACGCGGCTCACTAGCTAAACCTCTGGCCTTGTTCGCTGCGGCCACAAGTTTCGCCGACCCTCCTTTGGACCGGGTTCCCTAGTGACGCGTCTGCGTTCCACGTCTGGGGCTGCCTTCCTCACATTCGTGCATCCGGCACGGACAAGCTCATTACTCGCACCGTCCCCTGTGTCTTCCTCGGTTTCCCCCTTGACTCGTCTCACCGCTTCCTTCACTCCCGTGACATCACTTTGGACGAGTCTGTCTCCTTTTTCCACCGCTTTCCTCACTAAGGTCTCCCGGTTTCCCCCTCCCTGTTTCTGGTTCCCACTCCCCCGGTCGCCCCTGCTCCCCTCCCTCCCTGTCCTGCTCCATCTGGTGTGTCTCACGTCACTCCCCTCCCGTCGGTTTTCCCGGTCGAGGAGTCGGTTGACTCCAGTGGCCCCACGGCGCAGTTTGCGCCGCCGGTCCCTCCCCCGGTGTCTCCACCTCCCTCGTCGCAGTCGCCGCCGTAGCCGTTGTCGGAGCCGCAGCCGTTCGTGGACTCTGGGGTTACTGGGGTTGGAGAGGGTGCTAGTCCTGGGGCTCCTGTCATGGCTTGTCCCGGCGGGCTCGGGGGTGGCACCGCCGATGGCGACGGTTCTCGTTTTGAGGGTGCTGGCGTGGAGTGTACCAGAGGTAGCAGTGGTGCAGCTGGTGGTCCAGGTGTCGGCGTTGAGCAGCAGCAGCAGCTTTCCCGGCCGGTGTCCGCCCATCGCGTGCTCGGCCTTCCCTCCCCTAACCGCTCGCCTGCGCCTCCCTCGCCGTCTCCCCCTCTTCCTGTTCACAGTCCTGTGTTTCCTCCGTCGGACTCGTCCCCGGCTCGTTTCCCCTCTCGTTCACCTCCTATGACTCCTCCTCTATCTCATGACCCGACGCCTCCGTCTCACGTCTGGTCTCGCCGACCCTCTCATGCTCGTCCTATCTCTCATGTTCAGCGTTCTCACCCTATGTTGCATCGTTCCCACGCGTCTCGTCCTCCCCGTTGGCCTTCGCCTCCTCCGTCATCGCTCACTCTCGTGCTTCCCCCTATGTCTGACTACCTTCGTGCTTCTCGTCCTCCTGTTCCTCCGGTCCTTGCCTCCCTCGTTACCGACCCATCTGTTCTTGTCTCCAGTCTTGACACTCTTGTAGCAGCTGTCGCTGACTTTGCCTCTACTCGCCGCCTTGTCATTGCTACTGCTCTGGTCTCTGACGCAGTCTGTCCTCAGTCCGCCAGGGGTGCTCTTGCCCTCCGCAGTGACATCTTGGAGGACCAGCAGTACGAGCTTGATTTCCTGTCAGAGGCTGCTCCCCATCTCTGTTCCATGCTGCTAGTCCCTGAGGGTGACCCCGACACTTTCGACATCCCGACCCCTCGCACCTACGCTGACGCGACCTCGGGACCCTGGGCCTCTCAGTGGATAGCTGCCATGGAGCAGGAGATGGCATCTTGGAGGGCTACTGGCACCAACGTCGACGCAGTTCCCCCATCTGGGGTGAACGTAGTCGATGGCCGGTGGCCCTTCAAGGTGAAGCGCCCCCCTGGAGAGCCGCTTGTGTTCAAGGCGTGCTACGTGGCTAGAGGCTTCAGTCAGCGAGAGGGGGTGGACTTCTTTCATACCTTTTCCGCGACCCCGAAGATGACTACTCTTCGGGCGCTGCTACACGTAGCAGCACAGCGTGACTACGAGCTTCACTCCCTCGACTTCTCCACTGCTTTCCTTCAGGGCAAGCTACACGAGCAGGTCTATCTGCGCCGCCCTCAGGGCTTCACCCTTACTTTCCCTCCTGGGACCCATAGGTTCCTCCGGCGCCCCGTCTAGGGCTTGCGACAGGTGCATCGTAAGTGGCACGACATGCTGCGTGCCACACTAGCTGACCTGCAGTACTTTCCGTCCTCTGCTGACCCTTCGCTCTTCGTTCCTGCTGGCCAGACTTCGCTCTACATCCTGGTCTACGTAGACAACCTGGTCTTTGCTACAACAGACAGAGACGCACAGGCCTCCGTGAAGGCTGAGCTGCTAAGGCGACACACCTGCACTGACCTGGGAGAGCTGCGCGCTACCTTGGCCTGTAGATCTCCAGGGACAGAACAGCGCGCACCATCACTCTTACACAGTCACACTTGGTATGCCAGGTCCCTCAGAGATTCGGTCTTCTGTTCTCCTCCGCACAGCCCACACCTCTGCGGGTAGACCACACGCTCTCAGCTCTAGTTCCTGAGGAGTCAGCAGATCCTAGTGGTCCTTACGTAGAGCTGGTGGGTTGCCTCATGTACCTGATGACTTGCACTCGCCCAGATCTCGCATACCCTCTCATCATCTTGGCCCGCTTTGTGGCCACAGGCAGACACCGACCACAGCACTGGTCGGCCGCTAAGAGGGTTTTGCGTTATCTAGCAAGTACATCGGGCATGGGGCTAGTGCTGGGAGGACGCAGGCCAGTGGTCCTTAATGGGCACACAGACGCTTCTTGGGCAGACGACGCTGAGAACCTCCAGTCCTCCCAGGGCTACTGCTTCAACCTTGGTTCTGGTGCCATCTCGTGGAGGTCCACTCGCTCTTCGTCTGTTGCTCAGTCTAGCTGCGATGCTGAGATCCACGCCGGTACCATGGCGGCACAGGAGCTCCGCTGGCTGACCTTCTTGCTTGCCGACTTAGGTAGGCGGCCTAACTCTGCCCCGGTTCTGTACGCAAACAACAGCGCCATGATCCTCTTGTGTCAGCAGCCTCGACTTCAGGGCAGAGCGAAGCACATCCAGCTGCGGTACTTCCTCCTGCGCGAGCTTCAGCAACGTCGCCACGCCCGCATAGTACAATTGGCATCCGGTGCCAACACAGCTGATATCTTTACTAAGGCGCTTCCGCCTAGAGATCATCAGCGGCACTGCTTGCAGTTAGGTCTAGTCCCTGTTGACTCTCCCTTGCTAGGCCCTTGATTGTGTACTCCTTTCTATTTATGCCTTGCAGACTGGTCTCGTGGCTTTTCCTCTAGTGGTTGGACTAGTAGTGCCGCCCTGGTTTGCTCTGTCTTGCTTGTACTCTTGCTGACTGGTCTTCGGGCCCCTGCCTCAGAGGTTGGACTAGTCGTGCCACCCTGAGCTGTGTGTTTCTTGCTCAGCACTACCCCTTATCTAGCCTAGGGGGTGTGTCAACTTATACAAATATTGTTATGTAGAATTTGTATGCTAGATAGGGTATGTTCTTAGTGGGTACAACGCAAATGCTATATCTCCCCTGTTCTCCCTTCTACTAATCATTCTTTCTAGTCTTAATGCTGTTTTCCAAAAATGCCTACCCTGATTTGTCAGTGTTCAAAAATATGAAACCCTGAAATTCTCAGGGTTCACAGAACCCAATCAGGGTTCCATTTAGCAACCGTCGTAGCCATTCTCAAATTGCCGCATCATCTCTAGCAGTCACGATATTTCTCCTTTGCAACTTCTGGCGGGCGGGTTTTATTTTTTCAGATTTCCCAGGCGAAGTGAAAATTCTGTAGCAAAAAATTAGATGGCCGCCCACGGCTCAATTGAGGGAGAGGGAATAAAAAAGGAGGGGAGGGGGGAATCGAATTCGAGTGGGAAAAGGGGAGGGAATCAAAACCGACGGGAGGGGGAAAGCGAAACGGAGGGGAAGTGGGAATAGAAACGGAGGGGAGGGGGGAAGCAAAACGGAGAGGGAGGGGGGGATCGAAACGGAGGGGAGGGGGGGAAGCTGGCGAATGGGGTGGTGGGAGAAGCTTCGCGTGCTTGCAGCGCCCTCTGTGGGAGGGACCCCGCTCCCTTCCACCGTCATGGGCGTGATTCAAATGAGTAAGGAAATCTAGGACGTTTATGACTGGCAACCATGGAACGGCTGATAATTGTCGAAACGATCGCAATAGATCGTGCCATCCCATTTTGATTGACTTTCAGATGACCACACGGGAAACTAGTGAAAATTCCACTAAAATGAGCGACTGCTCATAGAAAATAGGTATGGGTTTGTTGGGGGTATAAGGGGTGACGTTGAGGACAAGGAGTGGGAATGTCTGTACAATATACTTAACCCATTTTTCGTTTGTCCTGTCTCTGGCTATTAAAACTTAGCCAAGTTTTGTGGGTTGTTGGGTGTGCAGGGGGAGTGGCTGTCCTAGAGGATTTGGCCGATTTTTTAGGTTGCTCGATGTATGGGGGGGATGTAAGAAAAAAAGGACTTCGTCGATTTTTGTGAGTTGTTGGGTGTGTGGGGAGACCAGTCACGTGTAGGGGGGATTTTGCAAAAGGTCAAGGATGGCATGGATGTCCCATTCAGGGTCCTTACGCGTTGCCCCCTGAAAACTCAGTATTGGCATAACGCAAACCCTGAAATCCTAAGTGTTCAAAAACTTACAACCCTGAAGGGACTAGGGATCAAAAGTGCCAAACCCTGAAAATTAAGGGTTGGCCAAAAAAATACCATGTGAAATCAGGGTAACGACAGCCCTGAGGAGGACCCTGCACGCAATCAGGGTCCTTGCTAGCTTTTAGACCTATCTGATAATCAGACCAAGTTTTTTGCCTTCGTCTGACGTTCAGACGAAAAAATTGCACAAGATTTTTTTTTCATATGAAAATAATTGATATGATTGAAAAAACAGACAAATGTTTATTGCAGAACTGTGGTATATTACACTACGTACTTTATTTCAGTTTTTTTCGTACATTCACACGCCTCGCAAAGTCATACTTCTCGTGTGGTGGGGGGTTGGGGGTGGGGATTTTTTCACGCTTGCTGATGTGTCGATGTGATTTCTCCACCCTTCCTGATGTGCTCTGTCTCCCTCGATGGGCTGGAAGGAGGAAATGGCTCGAAGGTTTTGTCCGCTAGCGGACCCTGTTTAACTTCCTTACCTACATTTTCAGGGTGTTTTTTGGTCCACACACCCGACGGGCTATGCCAGGTCAGCAAGGATTCTCATTCACCCAGCTCAGCTTTTACGATACTGTTGCGGCCGCAGATTTTTTGCTAACAATTCGAGACACGTGACCACTCTCCCACAATCTCCACTGCCAAGGAATTTTGGCTAAGTCCTCCATATCAGAAAGAAAATGATTGAACTAGTATGTGTATGTACAGGGATATATAGACTAGGGTGTTGTACCCTCTAAGGCACACTCCAGTAACAACCTAAGTTACATTTGACACACCCCCTAGACTATATAGGGGCAGTGCCTAACAAGGAAGAAGCAGCTCAGGGCGGCACTACTAGTCCAGCCTCTGAGACAAGGGTCTAAAGACCAGTCAAAAGGAGTACAGACAAGGCAAGAGCAAGCCCAGGGCGGCACTACTAGTCCAGCCACTGGGAGAGGCCACAAGGCCAGTCTGGGTAAAATATATATATAAAGGACAGTACAAAGTCAAGGCCCTAGCAAGTGAGAGGCTACAGGAACGAGATCCAGCTGTACACAGTGCCGCTGATGATCTTTTGGCGCAAGCGCCTTCGTAAAGATATCAGCTGTGTTGGCACCGGAGGCCAAGTGTACTACGCGCGCCTGGCGACGCTGCTGCAGCTCACGCGGGAGGAAGTACCGCAGCTGAATGTGCTTCGCTCTGCCCTCGAGTCAAGGCTCCTTACACAGGAGGATCATGGCCCTGCTGTCAGCGTACAGAACCGGAGCAGAGCTAGGCTGCTCACCTAAGTCAGGGACCAAGAAGTTCAGCCAGCGGAGCTCCTGTGCCGCCATGGCACCAGCATAGATCTCGGCCTCACAGCCAGACTGGGCAACAGACAAAGAGCGGGTAGCTCTCCACGAGACGGCACCTGAACCAAGGCTGAAGCAGTAGCCCTGTGAGGACGTGAGGGTCTCGGCGTCGTCTGCCCAAGAAGCGTCTGTGTGTCCAGTAAGAACCACTGGCCTACGTCCTCCTAGTACTAACCCCATGCCCGATGTACTTTGCAAGATAACGCAAAACCCTCTTAGCGGCAGACCAGTGCTGAGGTCGGCGTCTCCCTGTAGCCGCAAAGCGAGCCAGGATGCTGAGAGCGTATGCGAGATCTGGGCGCGTGCAAGTCATCAGGTACATGAGGCAACCCACCAGCTCTGCGTATGGACCACTGGGATCTACTGACTCCTCACGAACTGGAGTGGAGAGGCTGTGGTCTAGAGGAAGAGGAGTAGGCTGTGCGGAGGAGAACTGAAGACCGAACCTCTGAAGGACCTGGCGCACCAAGTATGACTGAGTCAAAGTGATGGTGCGGGCTGCTCTGTCCCTGGAGATCTGCAAGCCAAGGTAGTGGCGCAGTTCTCCAAGGTCAGTGCAGGTGTGTCGCTTCAACAGCTGTGCCTTCACGGAGGCCAGTGCGTCCCTGTCTGCCGTGGCGAAAACCAGGTCGTCTACGTAAACAAGGATGTAGAATGGAGTCTGGCCAGCACGAACGAAGAGCGAGGGGTCTGCAGAGGACGGAAAGAAGTGCAGGTCAGAAAGCGTAGCACGCAGCGTGTCGTGCCACTCACGGGGAGCCTGCCGCAGGCCGTAGACGGGGCGCTGGAGGAGCCATTGGGTCCCAGGAGGGAAGGTACCACTGAAGCCCTAACGGCGACGCAGGTAGACCTGCTCGTGTAGACTGCCCTGAAGAAACGCAGTGGAGAAGTCGAGGCAGTGAAGCTCATAGTCACGCTACGTTGCTACGTGTAGTAGCACCCGAAGAGTAGTCATCTTCGGGGTCGGAGCGAAGGTCTGGAAGAAGTCCACCCCCTCACGCTGACTGAAACCTCTAGCAATGTAGCGTGCCTTGAACACAGGCGGCTCTCCAGGAAGGCGCTTCACCTTGAAGAGCCAGCGGCCATCAACTACGTTCACCCCAAGTGGGGAAACTGCGTCGACGTAGGTGCCGGTGGATCTCCATGATGCCATCTCCTGCTCCATGGCAGCTATCCACTGAGAGGCCCAAGGCCCCGAGATTGCCGCAGCGTAAGTGCGAGGGGTCGGGATGTCGAAAGCGTCGGGGTCAGCCTCGGGGACTAGAAGCATGGAACAGAGATTGGGAGCAGCCTCGGACAGGAAAGAAAGCTCATACTGGCAGTCCTCCAGGACGTCACTGCTGAGGGCAGGAGCACCCCCGACAGACGAAGGACAGGCAGGGTCAGAGACCAGAGTGGTGGCGTAGTCAAGGCGGCAGGTAGAGGCGAAGTCAGCAACCGCAACGACAAGGGCATCAAGGCTCGAAACCGGAACAGACGGGTCGGTAACGAGAGACGCGTGGGAATGAAGCAACATAGGGTGAGAGCGCAAGACAGGGGAGACAGGTCGAGCACGGGAGGGACGGCGAGACCAGACGTGAGACAGGGGAGTCGGGTCAGGAGACAGAGGAGGGGACAAAGGAGGGGAACGAGGGGGGAAACGGGCCGGAGACACGTCCGGAGGAGGGAACACAGGGCCGGAGACAGGAGGAGGAGGAGGCACGGGCACGGGGTCAGGGAACGGAATGCCGAGCGGACGAAGAGTGGACACCGGTGGGGACTGCTGTGACGGCGGTGTGACGCAGACACCGGGACCGCAAGCTGCCGGGCGGCTACCTCCAGAACACTCCACACCAGCACCCCCAGAAGAAACACCCCCAGAGCTCAGAACCCCTCGAGCACCGGTACCACCCCCAGGCCCGCCGGGACAAGCCACGACAGGAGTCCCAGGACTAGTACCCACCCCAACTCCAGCACCCCCAAAGGCAACCAACTCCTGCGGTGACGGCTGCGGCGGCGGCGGTCGCAACGACGGCTGCGGCGGCGGTGACGATGGCTGCGACAGCGGTGGCGACTGCGGCTGCGGAGGCGGCGGAGGAGGGGACACCTGAGAAGGGGCAGGCGGCAAGGACTGCGCCGCAGGACTACCTGAGTCAGTAGACTCCTCAACCGGTACAAGCGACGTAAGTGGGGTGACGTGGGACACACCAAAGGGGGCAGGACGAAGAGGGGGAGGAGGAGGGGCGGCGACTACCGGGGAAGGGGTGACCAGGAACAGGGGGGGAAGGGGGAAGCCGAGGAAGACATAGGGAAGGGTGTGGGCAGTGAGCTTGTCCGTGCCAGAGGCACGAACGTGAGCAAGACAGCCCCAGACGTGGAACGCAGACGCGTCACCAGGTGACCCAGACCAAAGGAGGGTCGGCGAAACCTGAGGCTGCTGGGGG